TTACTCAAAATTTTTTAAAATTTGTAAAAATTAACATATTTTTTTAAACACCCCGAATTCTGGGTGTGGAATTCAATACTCACAGGAGCTCTGGATGTGAAAAGTTCCATATCGCCCATAAAGAAGTCTATGTTTATGATTCATTTCAAGAACAATTGCTTATTGCTTTTAATAGCGTAAAGGAATGTACGTATATAAATATATATATTCATATTAAAATATAATATGATTTATTTTAATATCTTTATACTAATAATAATTACATTGTATGATATACAAATATATTGTATATAAAAATGTTAAAAATTGGTGTAAATGTTACAACAATAAAATTGATGCAGTAACGTTCTTTTCAGTACCATAACAAAATCTCCCCTTTTTTTGGTTTTTCAGTCCGGTTGGTGCATGATACGTCCCTGGGTTGAAAACCCTTCCTCCCTCTTGAAAAGAATTCCTCGATACGCTCATGATCGTTAAACTTGTCATTTTGTGTATGTAATGTTTTTTTATGTAGACAGTTACCATGTTTGCATACTTGTTTAAAAAAAAGTGCGTTAGAAATCTCATAGACAGAAATAATCTTAATCAAACAATTTTATTAAAAAGTAAAACTTAGAATATTTTAATTTAATTTATTCTTCTGTTTTCTCTCTCTCTCTCTCCAATTCAATAGAAGAAACGAACTATAATTAATTAGCGTCAAAAAATCAACGTTATTTTTATTAAGCCATTAGTATAATATAATAATTTAACAAATAAGCTTGCTACAAATGACACTATACATTTATTTTTAATTATACTAGAACGTTTTCTGTTTGTATTTTTTAATAAATTTCTACATTTATAATCTGTTTAACGCGTTGTTCATCAATGTCATATTTGATGATAGAGACATGTCATTAAATAACTTATGCAACACTTCCTTGTACTTTGCAGCTAAGATAAAATCCATTATACACTTAATAGATGTAATATTAAATACAATAAAAAATTGACATGCCAAATATTTAAGGACGAAGTAAAAAATTTTTAAACAATATCTATAAAATTATCAAATGCAGAATATTTTTTGCATACCTCTAACAATTCCTATTCTAATTTTATGCGTTAGTATTTTTAATATTTTATATTGTTTGGTGTGTATTAAGAATATATTATATGTACTTTTTAACAAAATGAAAAAAGTTATGAAACTAATATAATACAAATTTTCCTATATTGTATTTGATAGTATCTAATATAAAAAGTTTGGTGATTTAAAACATGGATAAAAAATTATTTCAGTTAGAAGTAAATATATTTTTAGAAAATATTATAATTAAGATAAAATGAAAAAATTTTATACTAAAATTCGGTCAACGATCGAGCTAGTAAAAAGATATAAAAATAAGTCTTTAATTTTTAATAAAAACGTTTAATAAAAATCGACAATACGTTTCGTGACTACAGGTCCTTTTTCAGAAAGATTGAAATATTAAATATAATATATAAATAAAATCGCAGAGTCTATCTTAACATGGTTATAAATGTGATTGTGAATCAAACGGTGATGAAGAATCAAGACAGTATTGTTCAATGATTCGAAAAGCTATAAATTGTGAATAATTTTACGTACAGATATACAATATGCGTGTTAAATCCTTTTTTTGATATAAGAAGGCCATTATTATCTGTTTTTTCCAATCAGTTGATCATTGAATATTCATGTCAATCCGAAGTCGTGAATAATCCAAAGTTTATAACGTAAAAGTTCTTTTTTTGAAAAGGTTATATCAAAATCAAGGAACTCAATACAAGACCATTTTAACAAGGCAAAGATTCCTAATCTGACAATGAGATGTGGTCACAAAACGTACTGTAGATTTTTATTAAATATTTTTATTAAAAATTAAAGATTTGTTTTTTATCCTTTTATGAGCTCGATCATTGATCGAATTTTAGTATAGTTTGCTTTGCATAATACAAGTGAATTATTACTTTGAAAAAGATTTTTATTTTAACTGCAATCATATAGTTAAATATAAATATTGATCTTATTGAACTGTTTCCTATATATAAGTATAACCTTTATTTTTATCTCGGAAAGTATAATATACTAATTCCAGTAATATTTTGCAGAGATAGTACAGGATGTCCCAAAATTCACTATTTAAAGTACTATACCTATAGTCTGTAATTAGCTATATTAAATCCTTATTATTTAAAAAATTATTGCTTAAAATAAAAATTTATTAATAATCTTTTTATTAATTGTTTTCGAAAACTATCTTGCCATAGTATTTTGAATTGCAAATTTTGGGACACATTGCGTATGTAGACATATCCTTAAAACTATACTATGATATCCTAACCAGATTACAAATGAATTTTAATTAAATACTGATTCTTCGCAAAATGTCAAGGTAACCTCGATAAGAAAATCACAGACTAAGACGTTAAATTGATCATTGTTACAATGTAGAGATCAAATAATAATTGATTATGCTACTAACAATATTTATTATTTATCTGATGTAAATTTTGAGTTAACATTAATTTTTATTGTTATTTTTAAATAATGTACATAAAAATGATGTAGACTATGTCAATAAACTAACAATATTAGAAAACTAATTATCATTAGTAAATTCTAATTTTCGTAATCAAATGTTTATAATCATTTTCTATTTTAATAAAAATTTGGATAATTAATCTAAATTCATATTAAAATTATATATAGTTATACAAAATCTCTTTGTTTTTATTAAAATATTAAATAAACAAATTATATTTATAACAATTTCTACTCATCTCGAAAAGTGCCATAGTTATTAATATTCGAGTGTTATTGTAAGAGTTATTGCGTAACTACAAATAATAGTGTGCTATTTTAATTAATATTGTAAAACCCGTATGATATTCTTTGGAATAATATGTTTGAATTACCTTTCCTACATTTTGAATATTTAGTGTTTCGTATTTTTCATAATAATTGTGCGTAATTATTAATATGCGTAATAATTAAAGAGCTAAAATAATATTTTATAATTATTTAGTAATATAAGTTTATATGTATAACATTCAACTATTTTTACTAACTACAACTACTTACTAATTATCATGTACACATGTACGATTAAGTTTGCGTATCACAATAACCTTGAGAATTGCATACACTCTTCCTTTTATAGTACGTGATTCATTTTGTATCTGTTTGACTCGCATAGGAAGTTTTGTGAGTTTTATTCGTTCGATTGTTATTTTAGATCCTTGTTTTAGATGAATTCAGACAAGTTCACCTTCGTCATTGTGAATATTTTTTTAACCCAGAAAAGTCAGCTGCAGAAAGAATTTTGTGCGTTACATATGGCCAAGGAGTTGTCAGTAAGCGTATATAAAAAGTGGTACAAACGTCGATGTTGCGATCGACCGAGGTCAAATTGCCCTAAAGACATCGATGGAAACCTGCAGGTCCTGCTTGAAAACTCAGCTATAACGACGCAAGAATTCGCAGAAATGCTTGGGGAACCAGTCGTAACTGCAGATTATAAACCGCAGGCTTAGCGCGATTTGTGAAAAAACTTTTGCATAAATAAAACTTATACATAGATCTAGTAAAATACAGTACATGAAAGTTGTTTCAAAATAATATCTTACATTAAATTTTCTTAGATTAAAAAAGAAATACATATTTTCTTCTAAGGATTTAAATAAAATACAAAGGCTAAGCAAAGTGTCGTAATGATAAGGAAAATGTTATACGAATTTTAAAATTCAAACATTTACTTATTGTACAAATATTCTGTATATGCATTCTCTATGAATAACAAATCCTGATCTTTATATAGATTATATCAAGAATTTATTTAATAACGGCTGTTTATTATAATATTTATAATTAATTAGAGAATAAAAGAATAGTTTTCTTTTGCTAATCACTTCGTTGTGTGATCAATAAGACTTTCCACATAAAATAAAAGCAATTGTATTTAATTATTAATATTATTATATATACACATAAACGAAATTTTATGTACGGTACATATCATATATTATGTATCATTTACATTTTGTGAATAAAATTTTTTTCAACATATATTAGATTTATTTAGTCATAAAATATTTTTAAAATATTTAGAATGTAAAAATACTTGTTTACTTCAATTTGTTGTTAACATTTTATTTGGCATGAAAATTTGTTTATAGTCGGTAAAAAATAAATAGATTAGTCTTGACGCAAATCTTAGTAGTTCCAACACTTCATTATGATCTAAAAATAGATAAATTATTTACTCGTATAAAACTCGAAGAAAAAAATGGAATTTATTATTTGAATTCTCTTTAACTGATCGGATATAATTATGACTTCAAGAACTTTTGTAAAAAAAGTCATCTTTTGTGTTGCGTAATCAAACTACAAGAACATCAATCCTGTCAAAGTTTTTAATACTTCAAAAAATAATTCCATTACTTTAAGAAATGAAAAAATTATTACAGTTGAAGATGTATTAATATTTGTTTATCTCATCAATACGTTAAAAATAGAAAAATTACAAAAATTAAGAAAAATTATAATTAAATTAAATATGTAGCAATTTTATACTGACACAGATCTCTTATTTTAAAGAAAATTAATCAATTCATCCTTTTATTAATTTTTGTAATTTTATCTTACTACTGCACTGATTTTGCTATACTTTTTGAATTGTTTAAATGGGCACATTTTCAAAATTAATTTACAGACGCAACATTTACATAAGTATCATTTCATGTCCTGTACATATATCAAATATATTTTAATTTAATAAAATATTTATTTTATTTTATGAAAGAAAGTATTATTCTTTCGTTATTTATTTTTAAAATTGATTTAACTTTACTGGTGTAAACAGAAATGTGGTTGCAGATTTTAAATGAGTCATGGCTACAGAGCAAGAAAGAGACTGGTTAATAAGATACTGAACGAGGACGTGCGATATATATATATATAAGCTTCATCGTACGCGCGAATCAGTCTTAATACTCATTCGCTATACAGCTGTTTGGTTCGCTTCAAAGCATATACTTTCAGAAAGTGTTTCTTTATAAGATAAACTTTGAATTGAAATATGTTTATTATAATTTTTGCTTTTGCGCTTATAGCAACAAATTATGTTACAGCAGAAATACGTGAGTAAAAAAGAAATATACTTGTCTTTCTCACAAAAAACGCTTATAATTCTTTTCTTATTGTTCATAAACAAAATTATAAACATTTTTCATTGTAATTATCATAACTACGCGGAATGTATTAATAATCATTAAAATAAAACATTATATCTCAAGTTGGATCGTTGTGTAAAGAAGTTTGCTGTTACAGACATTACAATAATTAATTATTAGGTATAATGCAATAGCTCAACGAGGTAATGCAAACTACATGCCTAGCATTCGCCAGGTCGTGAACATGTAGTATTAAATAGCAATAACGTGAACGCGTATTAGAAAAAAAATACTTACGAAAAAGAGCTGTGTTCCAGTTTTTAAGCACTTAATTAAAATGACAGGTGTAGCTAATATCAACTTCGACAAGAATTTCTTGTCGAACATTTCATTACACATTTTACGATATGGCATATACATTTAGAAGAGAACGTCTTATGAAGAATTTTTGCAATGCGACAACATATTTCATAGACTTGACTTGTTGTGCAGTCACTTGTAATAGATTTATATTCTCAAAAGTGCAGAGTATCCTAATGCGAAAATAGTATAACAAAAATATTAAATAAAAATTCTGTAGCAATATTCAGAATCTTTTTATTATGCAGTACTTTATTATTAAATATAAAGTTCATGAATAAATATAAAATTGAATATAAAATTTAATTCGTCAATTATTATTTTACGTATGTTATGATTTAATTAAAAGTGTTACATTATATTATATCTTTCAAGATTTGATATTAACGCTGTTAAATTATCGTAATTTAAAATTACAAATTTTATTATAAAAGAATTGAATATTTCTTAAAAATTTTCACATTTTATCACACTTAATTTTATTTATATATATATCCTAATACTGATAATTTTATTCATAATTACAATTTAATAGAGATAATTTATATCTTTTACAGCCTCCTTCATTAATGTGTGTGGACGCAAAAATCCGAATCTTAATAAATGCATCTTAGACAACATTGATAATATAAAAGATAAGATTTGCGAAGGAATCCCGGAATTGGACATTCAGCCGAACGATCCATTCGTTATTGATAATTTAATCATTTCTGATACACCTAATTCTAAAATATCTCTTAAAAATACACAAGTGACGGGACTTTGTGATTTTGTCGTAAAATACCTTCAATCAGATCTCGAGAAACTTCACTTCGATTTTGAGCTTGTATTCAGACGAATTCAAATGAATGCCACGTATGATTTCGACATACGTTTACTGGTGCCTATTGTTCACAAGGGACCGGTTTACATCACTACAAGTACGTAAGATAACCGATATTGCATACTTAGAAAGGCAGAAAATAGAAAATGTCTGTTTCAACGTAACGATTCACAATTCGACTTTTTCGTCGTTACTATTAATCTGGATTTTGCAGATAACGTAGAAGCAAAGGTAAACATTGACATGAAAGTAGTAACTAGAAACGGCAAGAAATACGTGTATTTAGGAAAGATGAAGGTAAATCTTGACATCAAAGGATACACCGCTGAATATGGATTGGATAACTCAGAACTAAGCCGATTAAATGAAGTCATTAGCAATTTTATAGGCAACAATCAACAGGAGGTTATTAGTGTCTTCAAGCCGGCAATAGAAGAAACAATTGTCAAACGAGTTATTTTGCTTTCCAATAATATAGTTAAACACTTTACGTTGGAGGAGCTTTTCCCTGATCGAGAATAAATCGCATAATAAGTTTTTGAATTTCATTGTCACGCAATCATTTCGTCTATTTTGTGATTTACTTAACCCTTTCGTACTTCCGGATTTTCCAAAAGAAATGCGTTTCGTATGACGATTTTATAGGTTTTTAGGAGTGCTGATTCCAAATTTACTATTAAAATTCAAATTCAAAATGACGAATTTTGAGATGGCAGTCATGAAAAGCTGAAATATGATATATTCAAAATATGACTTTGGATTTTATTTTTTTAAATATATATCGTAGCATACACACACACACACGAGACTATTCAACCTAAAATATATTTATAACGGTAAAAGTTCTCTGAATGTAAATTTTGGATATTATACACACTTTGATTACATATATAAAATATTATAATATTTACATATATGTATATACCATAACAAAGTTGTGATCACATTTAAATAAGATTCTAAGTATTTTATGATTAGTATTTATTCTATTATTTTTTTACATAATCCACGGCATAGTATGTGCTTCACTATAAAAAAATTTTATTTTTTGTAAAATTTAGAGAAAACTATATTTTATTTAAAACGTTACATTTCAAAGTGCGCAATTTTTTGACATGTAGCTTGAATCTTCTTTTTTAAAACAAGTCAAAATAAAAAAGTCGAGAGGATTACTTATTTCAAAGTTATAATTTTTTTGTAGATGGAACATATATGTCCCAGAGGTACGAAATGGTTAAAGAATATTCGGAATTACAAAGTTTTAAACGTGTTAAATTAAAATTTTAAATACTTCTTGTATTAGTTTGAACATAATGTTTATAAGAATTTTATATCGCAATGTTTGATATAAGTGTTATAAAATTATTACAAAAAATGAGAATATGTAAACATAAAATTGCGATGATGTGCTTTTGTTATACGTATCTTTATATTTATATCTTTTATTATGTAACATCTATATATTCTAAATATATATTAAATGTCTCTTACACATATATATATATACTTTATATCTTATTTATCTGATTTCATGACTATTCATGTGTCATTAGATAACTCATAACTACAGCTATAAAAACTACACTTAAATTCTAAAGTGTCCTGCTTGAAATATAGTATGCAAGTGAACCTCCGTCTTACAGCGATTGATAGAAGGAAAAGATTTAAAGTTTTTTTACTTACAATTTAGATTTACTTACAATTTGGATTTAGCGGCTTAATAGTATCAATCATATAGATTGTACTATTATAATCGTCCAAAAATTTTTACTTCGGTTTCAAATGACCTGTTGCTGTAGTTGAGAGTTAACAACGTAAATATGTCTGTATATACTAAAAATACTAAAAAATTTATATCTTAAACAATAAATTACTTTAAGATAATATACACAGAATTAAATACTATATATGTTCGTTATAGTGTATTTTATAATGTTGGAGAAAACTGCTTTAAATTATTAAATATTGTTATATATATGTAATTGTTTTGATAAAAGAAATTTAAATAAAAAGAGGTCATGCAAATCACTTAATATATATAAATCTCAATTATACTTATGTTATATTTATTGTCAATTTTATGTTAATTATGGTACTGTAATGGGTGTGATTGAAATTAGTTGTATGTTGCAGTAACATAGTTCAACACTTTTTTGGGATCTGAATAAACGAAGCGTTTCCCGATGTATTTTTTGTTCACTCAAAATGAATTTGCCCGTCGAATTGACCTAATACGTCAGGTTTTTAAAAAAATTGAAGTTAAATGTGCCAAAATTGCGTTTTTGGTCATATTTACCATTTTTTTGTTTCTAAAATAAATTTTTTTTTTCAATTTCATTTACGCCACTTTAAAGTGCAAACGCCAATTTTGGCACATTTAACCTTAATTTTTTCGAAAACCTGACGTGTTAGGCCAATTCCATGGCCGGATTCATTTTCAGCAAAGAAAAATACATCGGAAAACGATTCGAAAACATTTATTCAGGTCCCAAAAAAAGATCTATTTCTTGTATAACTGTGTAATTTGCAACTAATGCATAATTTATGATTTCTGATAAATTATAAATTGTTTGACGTAGATTTTACATAATCAAAGAATTTACTTATCTGTATTCAATACAATTTGTTATTAATATAATATTTCGTTATTAATATTTGTTATTAATATTTTGGTTATTTGTTGATGCAATAACGTTATTACAAACACATTTACTAAATTAAATATGTTATTTAATATTTTTGTAATAAATTACAAATTAAATATCACAGTGCAAATCGCAAAATGGATTGACTGGTACTATTATTGTGAAGGATGCGTAATAATATTTAGAGGATAAACTTAATTGTGATTTTAATTTATAAAATATCACACAAGTTTTAAAAATATATGAGTTATTTTACGAATTAATTATAAATTTGGGAAATAAAATATAAAAAATGTAATAATGCTAATTATTTAATAAATACTGCAATCAAAAACTTTATTCAATGATTCATAATGCATTGAATTTATTGATATCGGTACGCTCATTAATTACAAGGCTAGTAGGTACTACAAGTCTGTAAGTTATAATCACAAAGATTTTACAAGTGACTGTTTCGTTCTTACCAAGCAAATTAGACCTTTCTTGCACAGTGTGCTGTTTACTGTGAGTCGATAATCGTTTTTTGTTTGCACTGACTCACATTCAAAGTTTTTAATTGCATCGAGTCAATAATGAAAAAATCGAAATTGAAACAAAAATTTTACTATACTATGCTCTATTGACAAATTTGTAGAAAAGCACTTGATTTTCAATCAAGAATTTTCCATATCTATTTCTAGGTGCTTGTTAATAACTTAGGTATTTTTTGCAATTAATGATAATGGTAATAAATTTAGAAATTACATATTCAAAAGATTTTATGATAAATTTGACAAAAACATTTTTCTATATTTTTAAAAAATTCGCTAATACTAAAAATATCTTATCTTATTTTTTCTCTTTAAAAATTTTCTGTTATTTAACGTTATTCCTTTCAAGAGCTAATGTTGCGCAAATACTCGACTAATTACTCAGATCATAAATCATTAACGTTTTCTGCAAAACGATTACAATTGAATTTTTAAATATTACCAAAATCGTTCCATGATTTTAGTTTAATTTTTTTATCTCCTATTTTCTATCAAAATTCTGGTTTAATTTTGATCAGACCATTTATATTTGTTATAAAATCTTAAAAACTTAATAAACTTAACAATGTAAAATTCAGTTGACTATGCAAGGAAGATTCAATATAGTGAAAAATAGCAATAAATTTTCTTAATTCGCTCTATTGCTTATTTTGCAATAGAGCTTCAAATTTAATTCATGTGTTTTCCAGCCCGCCCGATCATTTGAATCACCACCGATCGATTTATGCGCCAGGGAAAAGTTGGGCAAATGTAAATTGTTGAATAATACTGCTAGCAATATTCTGGAACGAGTCAGATAGTGCCTTTTCCACGAACGGTAAAAGCTCCTTCATGAAGAGTTCGAAATTGTTGTTGATAGCCGAATTGATGACATCTCCAAGGGCTTGTTCGCCACCAAACAAATTATCTAACTTTATCGTACCCTTGCCTACTGAGATTTTCAATTTGAAGTCCGTAATGTGCATCTTCTCTTCGCCGTCCTCGTCAAAGTATTTCGCAATTTGTATTTTGCAGGCGCCTAAAAAGTTAACCAAGATTTTATAAGATGAATAAGTCAAATAAGTCAAATGTACAAAATTATCGAATTATAATTTATATAATAGCAAATACCTATGCAATTCGAGAAATTGCCGTGAATCGGGCCAGATCCGCGAATCGGAAGTAATAATAACTTGCCGTCAATTCCATATATCCCTTCAACTTGAATATTCGGCAACTCCACATCCACCAAGACTATCAAAGTGTTGAAGTCAATTCTTGGAAAAAAGAAAGACAGTATCATACAATCAGGAAAACAATGAGAGAAATTTATTGTACGCTCATCATATCTTTCAATTTATGTTTGTAATTTCCATTTACATACAAATGAAATTATTAATTATCTTATGACAGAAATTCTTCAAAATGATGCAATTAGAATTTTTCATTTTATGTATCTCAACTAATCTCAGTTGATCTGAGTCTGATATAAAGACTATGGTTTACGTGAATTTCATCAAACTTTGTTGCAGCTATTGTTACTATTGTATCACTATATGCTGTGTTTTAACTTCGTAATTTTCTGCTATAATATAAAATTTTTAATAGAAACATAATTAAAACAAAATTACAATAAATTACATTTAATTGCTAGAAAATTATATTCTTATAAATTGGCATTATTGTCAAGATATTACAATAAGTAATAATTAGATATTGTAATTATATAAGAAGTAATAATTAGATATTGTAATTATTACAATGTAATACATAATACAAAGAGTCAGTATGAACAGTATGCATCCTATGGAATGTGGATGGATATCTTGATGGATACACGATATATTATCATTGAAATAGTGAATCTCTCTTTCACAGTTCTCACACATGGGAAATTACTACAATAACTGACAATTTCAATTCACAGTGTGGAGTCTTTCTTATTATTCACATTATTATAACGCTATTGTAAGTTTTGTCTCTTTCTATTTCTTTCTCAATGCTCGACATATTGTTTAACAAATGTCTTTTTAAATTTCGCATGCTATAAAGTAACGAGAAATACCACCGGTGATTACAGTTTCCGTCCGGTTTTCTAGTCCTTATAGATTATTTATCTTTTTTCTTTTCTTGCAATTTTCGAGAAGCAGGCATGTTGACGCTTTGTAGACACACTTCGAGTGTTCGTGTCACGGCCATCTATGCATAGAATACAAACAACACAGCATCCGTTCCTCAATTGCACATTACAAATTGCATAATTTTCTTTAAATGTAATGCGTCTTTTTAAATCAATTGATTCGTCTCATTATTCTGTGCGTGAAAGTATTGAAGTAAAATCTCATCGAAAATAAATATTTCATCAATAAAAATTTTTATCTCATATTAAAATATATTAGAAAAGAATATATGAAATCTTTCGTAAGTAGAGTTTTTATTTTAATATTTTTAGTATATCATGATTGTAGGAATTACATAAAAAAAATCATTAGTGCCTTATTCAAAAAATATTAATAAAACGTTAATTTCTTTTAAAAGGAGAATTATTTAAAATTTAAAAAAATCATTCATTTTTTAAATTTTAAATATTAATAAAATGCTAATTTCTTTTAAGAAACGTGTTCTATAAAAAATTCGTAGCATTATTATACACCATTCTTTTTTTTAAAGCTGTAGAATGTTTATTCTAAATATTTTTTTAAATACTTTACATTTGGGATATTGCTGTTTTGTCCGTACTTTATAAACTCATTTCTTTTCGATAATGAATTGCTAGACAATATACTGTATACGTCACAAGTGAATGACAGCATAAACCTCATGTGTGCACAATCACTTCTTTGTAATCTTATATAATGTGATTGGATTTACCGCCAAGCAAAGAGGGGCGGGAGGAGTGGGGGAGGGATGTAGGGAGGGGGATTAATATTATGAATGATTGGTAAACTAAAATTTTATGCAAAAGGATGTGACCATTATCTAATAATATTTTCGCAAGATCACTAATCGCATAATTGTGCAAAGATTCAAGACGCTTGTTCAAAAATAAAAACAAGCACGCTA